CATACATTACATCATTAGTTTTTGATGTAGTGTTCCATGATTCATTGTTTGCGTATAACACCCAGTGCTCCACGTAGTACGCAGCAACTTCTAATAGCGAATTTGGCTTTTGGCAGGACCTTCCCTTATTCAAGTATTTTGGATACCATTGATCATCCAAATCTATGTCCTTGTTCCATGTCAAAGCAACACCTTGGCTCTTATCTATTGAACTGTTAAAGTAACAGTTATTATTGGGGGATGCAAGTCAGAAATAAATCTTAAATATAAAGCTGATTTTTACTACTGCAACCAAGGTCCATGGGCCCAGACAGACCAAGTTTCAAAACTTAGCCATATTACATATTATGTGTGTTATGTTGGATAAAATATATCACTTTTCTATTTCATCAAAATGAGGATAAGAATCCCTACCTCACAATCTTGTTATAAGGATCAAATGACACAATTTATCATGTGCCCAGATCATTCTAGTAACTTAATAGAAATCCCCATTATGGGACTTTATCTTGCAGATTCTCAGTTCTCCCATCTGTATTTTTTTCCCTAATGAAAATCTATTCTCCTTTTTGATGATAACAGAATGCCATTTTTCTCCTTTTTAGCAATCATCTCTCCCCTAACCTTGAACCATGCAGTTGGACTGGGACTCAACCCCATCTCCTATTTCAGGCCCCTGACCTACATGAGTAATGTACCACCTTCTATAGCCTTGACCACTCAGATTCAGTCCCTGGAAATATAAGGAAAGAGGCAGGCTGGTTTGATAGGGCTTCTAAACTGTCAGAAAGTAGACTAAAGCTGATAATGTCCATCATTGCCACAAATGAGAAAACCAACCTGAGAAGGAAACCAGCAGGGGGAGAAAACAAAATTAATAGATGTAAAAGGTGAGCCACTATTAAGAATATTATTACTATTAGTCAGTGGGCACTTAATACAATTCTTAGGTGCCAGGCATGTAACCAGTTCATGAAAAACATCTCATTTAATGAAGTACAGGTATTAATTATCTTCACAGTGGAAAAAAAAAAAACTGAGGCTCACAGGAATAACTTCCCCGTGATCCCTTACTGAGTAAATGGCAGAGCTGGAACCCACACCTCAGTATCTCTGAGCCCCTTAATCTCCAGGCTGTACTCCCAGGGTAATTGATTTCTGACATAATAAAGAACAAGACTCCTATCATGGTTAGTTAAATAAAAAGAACACCTCCTCTGTTAAGGGCAATATTGTACTAAGACGTGTTTTATACGCTGACACACACACACACACACATACACACACACACACACACACACACGTACGTAAATCTGTTTTAAAAACAATATGAACTCCTTGGAGGAAAGTTCATATTTATGTTCGTTATGGGAGTATGAACAGCAACCACTGTGATTACGTAAGAATACACTCTTATGTTCCAGAATAATTTTCCAATTGCCATCGACTACTTTCAGAGGCGGCAATGCTGTTGCCACCCAAAAGAGGTATTTTTCAAGTGGACTAGGTGATGGGGAAAAGACATGAATTAATCTTCATTTTTCTCTGGGGGAAATGCTATGTTATTACCCAAAGTCACTTATACTAGAAAATTTATCACTAGAAATGTTGCCCCCAGTCCTTTCCACACCCCCACAGCCAGGCTCCAAGAAAAAATGATTAAAGGGGGCCTCTTTTAATTAAGCTTGCTGAGCAAGCCTAGATAGCCCCATAGTTCCCATGCAATTTGAAGCAATTGGTTTCCAGGAGTGAGTCTAATAAATACTGCTCTGACTGACCCCTCTGCTGCCAGCCTCAGGAAGTTGCTCAGTCAGAAATACAGACCATGTGGCCAGAGATCAAGAGATTTTCATCAACAGTCATGTGCACTGTGCAATTTATAAGGTTTCATGCCTTCTCTGGAAAAACCAACAGAGCTTAAAGAATCCATGGGGGCCATCTGCCAAGCCCAGTCAGAGACATACTCATGCAGGCACCGTGGCCAAAAGAGCTTCGGGTTTTCTCTACTCACCTGCCTGAATGGGCTGGGTTTCCAGAGCTCACAGCCCCAGCCCAGAAAAAAAGGCCAAGAGGCAGAGGCAAGGAAGTCCACTGATTTAGCTGAGCATGGGCCTTGGAGCCAGACTGCCTGCATTTGAATCCTGGCTCTGCTACTTTCCAGCTGTATGACCTTGGCTAAACTAGTTAACCTCTCCATGCTGTAAGTTCCCCATCTGTGAATGATGATAATGCAAGGCTTACTTCATTAAACTGTTAGGGGAATTAAACAGCTTAAGTTTGAATCACGCTTATCACAATGTTAGGGCTTGAATGGAGAAGCTGTGTCTCTCTGTTCCCAAAGGTAGAAGGAGGGGCATTATTTATTTTACTTAATGGACAGATTAATCAGAACTCATCCACAATCATTTTTATAAAGATAATGATATTATGACATTTAGTTACAAGGGCTTTGCTAATCAGGCTTTCAGATAAAAGACCCCTATTCAAAGAATAGATAAGAATGTTTGCAATTAGCACCAGCCAAAGCAATGATGGGGTCTGTTCACCTCATAATGCTGTGTGTAAATAAGACCTTTAGTGAGCTAGAAAATATTCTGTTCCATGTGCCACCTACATGGAAAATATTCTCATCTCAGTTCTTTTTTCTTGTCTTTCTTTTTAGTCAACATTTTTCTTCATTTCTACTGGTAAGAACACATGTCCATCCAGTCCTCTGTGAATTACAACTTTCTACTTTCCTTTGCTGGGTCCACAGGCAGCTATTTCAAGTCACTCAGAATCAGGACGTGAAAGATTGGTCCCTTACACTTTCTCATTGGCAAACTATCAACTCCATTGCCAGGTTAAATTAGGTGGGCTCCATTAGTTTATTTTAGTCCTTCATTTATTTATTTTCTGAAGCCTTTCTTTGCACATACAGCACCAAGTAAAGACAGAATGAAAAACAAAAACAGAAACAAAACAACATGGACCCTCTTTCCAAAAAGTGACTTTATACTTTACAGGCAAAACATACAGAGGTTCGAGGTGTCATGTAAATAAGCGACAGGATGAGTAAGAGAGGAAGAGATGAAATGCTGACCAGGGAAGGTAGGCTCAGTGACAGCTAGAGTGGAATACCCGGAGAGGGAGAGGCCTATGTGGACCCTGAGAGCAAGACTCAAGCCATTGCTGAACCAGAACAGCAGCAGGAAAGAGGTGAACAGCTTCTGTGCAACAAAATCCTTCTTTAGTTATAAATGTCTCTTTCTGATGGGGGAAAATTAGGTATCATTCCATATAGAAGTCCCTCTGTGTTATCTTTGAGCTCGTTTGTTTGCAAATGACTTGTCCTTCACTTTTTCAGGCAGTTTCACAAGCATTTTAAGAGATTCCTCTAATGCAGTTCCTCTGGCTTTCAGTTCCCACAGGGGTTTTTAGGGCAGGGTTTGAAAACCAGAAAGATGAAAATGCATTGCCCTTAGAAGTGAGAGAATTGGGGTGGGTGTGGGGAGCTAGCGGGCACCTGTAAGTCCAAAGGCTGATAAGAAGCAGTCCAATTTCAGGAGTAAAGGGGAGACACCTTTCAGAGTTGCAGGGAGCCTGTTGGCCCCTAAAAGGTCATGGTTCCAATGATTCTGAATGATGTGGACATGAGATATTGAAACTCTTACTTGAGCTAGTTCTTATAGTACTGTTTATACTAGCAAAAGTCTAGAAACAACCTTTACCGTGGGCAGATTAGGTCAAGCAGGGTAGAGTCATATCTTTTGGCAAACATTAGGTTGTAAATTCAAAAGCAACTGATAGGTAAAGTCAAAATTACACTAGAATGCTTCTTACTGTGCTCTTACTTTGTCAGGATCTAGGCCTTTAGAAACTCAAAAACCAAAAAGAACTTGTATTATTTCCTTTCTTTTCAATTGTGGCCACTGGTTCCCATGGAGGGACGACACCTCTAGTTTAAACAGGGGGATGGGCACAGGTGGTAAGGAAAAGGAAGAATATTACTTTCTTTGCTTCCTTCTTTCTTTTGCTCCTCCTCTGTTCTCCCCTGTGTGTGGACACAGCGAGAAGCCAGCCCTCTGCAATATCCTGAACCATCCTCTGAAATATCTTGCAATATCCTCTCAAATATCCTGGTCTTCACCAGGAACTGAATCTGCTAGCCCCTTGACCTTGGACTTCCTGGCCTCAAGAACCATGAGAAATAAATGTGTTGTTTAAGCTACCAACTCTATGGTGTTGTGTTACAGCAGGCCAAGCTAAGAATATATATATATGTATGTTTGGTAAGTCACAGAATATTTATGGAAGGAGAAATAAGAAACTAAGAATGCTGGTTGTGTCTGATACAACGAGGAGATCCAGGAGATGTGAAATCAGGAATGGAAGGAAGATCTACTTTTAGGCTAATAAGATCTACTTATTTACACTGAAAACCCTTATTTTAACATGTAGCATATGTGTGTATAATGCTTTTAGTAATAAAAGCCAGTATTAAAATGTTTTTAAGTGTCTATTTCACAAGTCCCATCAAAATATAACAAAACAGCAGTTATGAAGCCCTTGTTGTTCACTAATCTCAATGATCTATTTGGAGATCATTGAGTATTTGGTGGTACAACTTTTTTTTTTTTTTTAAGATTTATTTATTTATTTGAAAGAGAGAGAGAATGAGATAGAGAGAGAGAGCACATGAGAGGGGGGAGCGTCAGAGGGAGAAGCAGGCTCCTCGCTGAGCAGGGAGCCCGATGCGGGACTCGATCCCGGGACTCCAGGATCATGACCTGAGCCGAAGGCAGTCACTTAACCAACTGAGCCACCCAGGCGCCCTTGGTGGTACAGCTTTAACATTCCCTTGAAATGCTGACTATTCCAGTATCACAACCTGCCCTATGGGGATGTGGGCAAATCTCGATAAGGACAGACCTCACGTGAGAGATCTGGGTGAGAAAAAGATTCCAATGCTCATTTACTAGGTGATCCCTTAATGGGCTACAAGATAAAAAGAGACTTACCAGTAGAACCTGTTTGGTACAACCCCTTCCTGGATAAGCTGCCACCTTCTCCCAAATTCAGCAGAGCTGTATAACTGTAGAGAAGAGAAATTATTTAGCACCTTGACCCCAGGGTACATTAAATATACAAATATTAGTTCACTGGCTCAATATTAATAACAATCACAACAACAATAGTAGTACCTACCATTTATTGAGTACCTGCCATATGCCAGGTGAATGATCCACATATCATCTCTACTCCTCATACGCATTCTGCAAGGTGAATGTTAATATCTCCACCTTACAACTGAGAAAGCTGAAGCTCAGGAAGATTACGTGATTTGCTGGAAGTCACATGCCCTCCAAACATGAGAATGAGCTGAGATTCATACCCCATTCTACCTGGTGACAGAATGAGCAGTGCCACGTGACCTAGCCTGTGCAGAGCACTGTGTGGAATACAGAGAAGCACAAAATCTGAGATCTGGCTCTTGAAGAGCAGATAGTGTAAACTGCACCTGACTAAAATCACGAGAAATGCATGAGGCCACCAGTGACAGAGGGATGCCAAGGAAGGAGAATCAGAAGTCAGTTAGGGATGCTTCACAGATGTGTGCAGATACAGCTGAGGTCCAAATGAATGGCAGTGTTCAAACTGACAGAAATGGGACAGGCGTGGCACAAAGAGCCACGTGGGTCAGAGTGGTGGGATATGCAGGGACAGTATACAAATAAACCTGGCTTATCTAAATAAGTGTAGATGTGAATGTTGAGGGCAGCTTGGAACATGGCTTTGGATGGCAAGTTCGGGAACTGGAACGGACCCTGTGGCTGGTCTTTTCGACAACAGCCACAGAAGCTTCATGCTATTCGGGCAGCGCACACGGACTACACTGTGATCCAAGTGCTTCCCATGCATTATTTCATTTATTCCACACACCATCGCTGTGATGGTATCTGAAGTTATTTTACAGATGGCTCTACAGCTGGTAAGAGTTCAAGTCCACATGCTACACTGCTTCAGTACTCTCCAAGGGCAACTGCAAAGAAGCAGTGCTCATGAGACAGGGTCTAACGGTCCACATGCTCCCTCCTCTCCAAACATGATTCTTCTCTTACTTCCTGCTTTGTATCTTGGCTCACTCCACACCTCTGCTCTTCTCCAATAATCTTTACAGCTCCATGGAAGTACCCTCTGATGGCAGCCTGGAGATCCCTATTGCTCCAGGCATTCTGGTTCCCATGGACTACTGGCTACTGCTTTGATAAATATCATTTGGAGTATCTCCTTTCTACTATGTGCCTTGTCTGTAACCTACTGACACTCCAATCTTCCACCACTGCATTCGCCAAATCCCACAGTGAATGGATAATGAGCCATACCATCCTGAGTACCGTGATTGCCCAGCCTTGTCCTGTCTCCAGCTCCAGCACTCAGTGAAGGGTCAAATGACTCACCAAGTGATTCACCCCAGTTGCAGATGCACTGGGCAAGTCTAGGAAGAGGTCAGCTCAAGTGACTATTTACCAACCCTTGGAAGAGCTTCCTATGATATTGTGTCCATTGGATCAAATAACATTCTAAAGCCCCCCAAAAAAGAAGCTGAAATATGTGATTACTAAGCAAGCAGCTCAACTGGCTCAAACTACATAGTATTTGGGCATCCAGTCAAGGAGAATCTGTGGCTTTTTCTTTTAAGTCTTACTATTTTTTCTCTGCCTCATTATGCCTGGGTACATTTTATGCTTGATTCCTCTTAAGAGTGCTAAGGGGAGATGGGGAGGCAGTTCCCCTCACAGAAATAACAGAGGATGGGGACAATGCATTCCCTCTTAATTCCAAACCCAAGTGGCCAGAGTGTGCATGTCCTGCTTCTGGTTCACCAGCATGTTCCAAACACTTGGCATCTGACTACACAGACTTGTAGAATAACAACAAGCACCTGGGTTTGGAGGATCTGCTTCTCCCGCTCCCCTTGCTCTATCTTTTTTTTTTTAAGCCCACAGCTGCACTCCTTCCCATGAGTTTAAAGAGAATTGAATGGAAAGTCATCAGAGAGACAGAAAGACCATGAGAGACTCTTTTTTTTTTTTTTTTTAAGATTTCATTTATTTATTTGAGAGAGAGAGAGTGAGAGACAGAGAGCACGAGAGGGAAGAGGGTCAGGGGAGGGAGAAGCAGACACCCCGCCGAGCGGGGAGCCCGATGCGGGACTCGACCCCGGGACTCCAGGATCATGACCTGAACCGAAGGCAGTCGCTTAACCAACTGAGCCACCCAGGCGCCCGACCATGAGAGACTCTTAACCATAGGAAAGGAACTGAGGGTTGCTGGAGGGGAGGTAAGTGGGGGATGGGGTAACTGGGTGATGGGCATTAAGGAGGGCACGTGATGTGATGAGCACTGGGTGTTATACGCAACAATGAATTACTGAACTCTACATCTGAAACGAATAATGTACTATATGTTGGCTAATTGAATTTAAATAAAAAAAGAAAAAAATAAAGAGAATAGAGTTCACACCATTGTGTGTGCCTGTGTCTATATGTAAATGTATGTTAACATCTATCTTTATATACAAAGACTTATGCAAATATAACAGAATCAGGATGGCTTGAAATAATAACAATTCTGCACATGAGGCTGGACTCACGTGTATCTTGAAAATCAAATATTAACTCTGAGGGCTCATACGGTGACACCAAGGATTGCCATCCCTGCCCCCACACAAAATTTATCTTTGTGAGGAATTACTGGGTGCCACCATCTGTGTGTGTGTGTGTGTGTGTGTGTGTGTGTGTGTGTGTGTCTTTTTTAATTGATCCCCCTCAGCTTGGATGCAGAATCTGTGGACCAGTCAGGTACGTCCCATGATATTTGTTTTTATCCTCTTCAAGGGGCTGCTTTGTTATCCGTGAGCATCCAAAGGGATACCAGACAATCCAATAAACCAAGGCTCTATTATTCAGCTCAGTGACATTCTTTTCCATTTTCTCCCTCGAAAAGGACCCTTTGGTGCTGACAGATGCACCTTCTCACTTTCTCACTCACATCTGAGCAGGCTTCCTTTGGTGTGTCTTCACTGATGCTCCCCATTCTGGCTGAGGTGGCTTTAAGACTTGCCCACCTCACTGCCAGTCCTCTTTTTAGGCCCAGACCAAAGTATGTGTTTTCTATGAACCTTCTCCTAGACACTAAAATTCCCTGTGGCCTCATTTCCATGGTTCAACAGATGGTATCAAGCTACAGGCCACATATTTATATTTAATTTTCTTAGGAACCTTCCAAGAGAGCCATCTATGAATGCAAGGCAGAAATTCCTTCCTTTCTAAAGTCACTCTAAAATATCTGAGACCACTCCCTGCCCCTTCAATGAAACCACAAAGTTTACAGGTGTTGGGAATCCTTTCCTTTTTAGCACATAGTAGATTGGCAAGGGGGAAAGAAGTGTCAATTTCGCACCCTGCAAATTCCCTAGTGATGAATCTATCTAGTAAAGTACCCAGGTTTCCCAATGGATGGACAAAGGTAACTTATCAGAGGAATATATTTTATTTCCATGGAGCCATGGTAGAGACCTATACCTAAAAAACAAACAAATGAACAAACCAGAACTATAAATATCAGTATATTTGAAGCTTCCATTTCAAATATTTTCCCCCTATTGTCCAGCCTGGTGTCATACCAAAAGGAGACAACAACAACTCACAGCCACTTAGGTTAATGTGTTAATCAAACCTGCAGAGTCTGACAGCCAAGTTCTCTTCCACAAAGAAGAGAAAAGGATCAAAGCCTCTTACACAATGACACTGTCTCGGCTGCCAGTGGAAGGCTTTTCCTGAAAAACGAGTCAACGTCCTTTAATAAAATTCATATTGTTGGCGGCACCTAAGTAAGATTTATTTCCTTCTCAGTCTATCTCTGGCTCTAAGGTTTCTTTTGACCATCAGAACACAGAACTGAGAACTATCAGTACTGTCACATCAGAGAAAGCAGAGCACCCTTCTCCAGCAATGCTGAAGAAAGAGAAAGAGAGCGAGTGAGAAAGAGAGAGAGGTATCAGGGAAAGGAAGACAGAATATATGAATTAGCTTTAGGAGGGCAACATTCATCTGCTAACCTCTGTCATAAACCCCAAAACACCATTCTTGGAGGAGTTTTGGCTTTGTTTTGGTTGTGCTAACTCTGGTACAAAGTACCGGGGACATTTTTTGCAGGAGTAGAAATTTTAGAAAGAGAACAGGGAAAAGATTCTGGTTGACTAAGAATGCAAGGCAGAAAGTCCTTCCTGTCTCAGATCATCCTAAACTATCCAAGACTGCTTCCCTGCCTCAGTAAAAAGAACTTAATGAGCACAAACCCAATGCTCTTCTACGCTCAAGATCTGTCGGCCTCAGGGCCTGACCCTCCACTCTGTCATTATGCTGGTCCAGGGCTGTCAATACTTCTGCCTCCTGCCATGCTCCTCGCCTGATGGTCTCTCTCTCCTCCTCCTTCCCTTCCTTCCTTCCTTCCCGCTTTCTTTACTTATTTTTTTTTCTCTTTTAGACATCCCTCACATTGGCTTGTTTTCTTGCCATCTGCCTTTGCCTGCTGTAAGAAGAGTACAGATAAGAATACAGTTAATTGCAAAGGAGGCAATGGCGAGGGTTAGTTTTGTGAGGAGCTTGTAACCGGTTGCTCAGGCATCTGTGGCACCATCCTCAGGAGGCTGCAGAGCTGCAAGCTGGGTTAGGGGCACAGGCGTGGAGGGAGGATGAGAAGGGATGCCACGCGCAGACAAATAACGGGGGGGGGTGGCGGGGAAACAGTGAGATTCACTGGCATAGCTCAGCATTCCCGATCTAGAGCAGACTAAAACGGGGTGAGAGAAGGGGGGTATGAGAGCAGCTGTGGCCCACGTTCATTTTCCATCTTCTCAGCATCCACGTGGTGGTTGAAGCCCTAGCAGAGTAGCATCTTTCTTCGGAGAGAAATTCAACTTCCTTGTGCTGATGCAAAAGCGTGCACTCATCACTGTCCCTGGAGAGTCTTCTCAATATTTCTAAATCAGATCGACATAGCCCCTCTTTTCAAGTCAGACAGGTACAC